TTCCGTGTAAAATTGTGTCCGTTACGTGTAAAACACCTTCTTTTTACGTGTGTAACAGTGTCCGGTACGTGAAAAATTGTGTCCGTAAAGTGTAAAACAGTATCCGTTACGTGTAAAACATCGTCCGTCGTAAAAAACGTCCGTTACGTGTAAACCATCGTCCGTGGTAAAAAACGTCCGTTACGTGTAAACCATCGTCCGTGGTAAAAAACGTCCGTTACGTGTAAACCATCGTCCGTGGTAAAAAACGTCCGTTACGTGCAAAACAGTGTCCGTCACGTGTAAATCAGCGTCCGTTACGTGTAAAACAACACTCGATATGTCCCGTATCCTTATACCATCGATATATCACATATCCCAATACACTCGATATGCCAGGTATCCCAATACACACGATATGCCAGGTATCCCGATACCCCCGATATGCCAGGTATCCCGATACAATCGATACACAATGTACTGAATACACTCGATATGTCACGTATCCTTATACCATCGATATATCACATATCCCAATACACTCGAAATACAAATGTTATACATATCGGTCACTTGTAACCAGTATCCGTCACGTATAAACAGTGTCTGTCACGTGTAAACAATGTCCTTTACGTGTAAAACACATTCCTTTACGTGTAAAACAGAGTCCGTCATCTTCCATTGTAAAAAGCGTCGTTACTTTAAAACAGTTTCAGTTACGTGTAAAAAAGTGTCCATTACGTGTAACACAGTGTCCGTTACGTGTAAAATAGTATCCGTCACGTGTAAAACAATGTCCGTTACGTGTAAAATAGTATCCTTCACGTGTAAAACATTGTCCGTCACGTGTAAAACATCACGTGTAAAACAGTGTCCGTCACGTGTAAATCAGCGTCCGTTACGTGTAAAACAGTGTCCGTTACGTGTAAAACGTAAACCTTCCTTTACGTGTAAAACACATTCTTTTACATGTAAAACAGTGTCCGTTACGTGTAAAACAGTATCCGTTACGTGTAAAACACCATCCGTCACGTTTAATACAGTGTCCATTACGTGTAAAACACATTCCTTCACGTGTAAAACAGTGTCCGTTACATGTTAAACACATTCCTTTACGTGTAAGACAGTGTCCGTTACGTGTAAAACAGTGACCGTTATGTATAACACCTTTCTTTACGTCTAAAACAGTGTCTAAAACGTGTAAAACATCGTCCGTTGTAAAAAAAAACATCCGTTGCGTGTAAAACAGTGTCCGTGACGTGTAAATCACATTCCTTCACGTGTAAAAAAGTGTCCGTTACGTGTTAAACACATTCCCTTACGTGAAAGACAGTGTCCGTTACGTGTAAAACAGTGACCGTTATGTATAACACCTTTCTTTACGTCTAAAACAGTGTCTAAAACGTGTAAAACATCGTCTGTTGTAAAAAAATCCGTTATTTTTAAAACAGTGTCAGTCACGCGTGAAGCAGTGTCCGTTACGTGTAAATTTGTGTCCGTTAAGTGTAAAATAGTGTCCGTTACGTGTGAAACAGCGTCCGTTGCGTGTAAATTTGTGTCCGTTACGTGTAAAACAGTGTCCGTTACGTGTAAAACAGTGACCGTTATGTATAACACCTTTCTTTACGTCTGAAACAGTGTCTAAAACGTGTAAAACATCGTCCGTTGTAAAAAAAAACATCCGTTGCGTGTAAAACAGTGTCCGTGACGTGTAAAACCCATTCCTTCACGTGTAAAACAGTGTCCGTTACGTGTTAAACACATTCCCTTACGTGAAAGAAAGTGTCCGTTACGTGTAAAACAGTGACCGTTATGTGTAAACACCTTTCTTTACGTCTAAAACAGTGTCTAAAACGTGTAAAACATCGTCTTTTGTAAAAAAATCCGTTACTTTTAAAACAGTGTCAGTCACGCGTGAAGCAGTGTCCGTTACGTGTAAATTTGTGTCCGTTAAGTGTAAAATAGTGTCCGTTACGTGTGAAACAGCGTCCGTTGCGTGTAAATTTGTGTCCGTTACGTGTAAATCAGTGTCCGTTACGTGTAAAACACCTTCCTTTTACGTGTGTAACAGTGTCCGGTACGTGTAAAATTGTGTCCGTTACGTGTAAAACATCGTCCGTTGTAAAAAGCGTTTGTTACGTGTAAAACATCGTCCGTTGTAAAAAACATCCGTTACGTGTAAAACAGTGTCCGTCACGTGTGAAACAGTGTCCTTTCCGTGTAAAATTGTGTCCGTTACGTGTAAAACACCTTCTTTTTACGTGTGTAACAGTGTCCGGTACGTGAAAAATTGTGTCCGTAACGTGTAAAACAGTATCCGTTGTAAAAAGCGTCCGTTACGTGTAAAACATCGTCCGTTGTAAAAAACGTCCGTTACGTGTAAAACAGTGTCCGTCACGTGTGAAACAGTGTCCTTTCCGTGTAAAATTGTGTCCGTTACGTGTAAAACAGTGTCCGTTACGTGTGAAACAGTGTCCGTTGCGTGTCAATTTGTGTCCGTTACGTGTAAAACAGTGTCCGTTTCGTGTGTAACAGTATCCGTTACGTGTAAATCAGTGTCCGTTACGTGTAAAACAGTATCCGTTACGTGTAAATCAGTGTCCGTTACGTGTAAAACACCTTCTTTTTACGTGTGTAACAGTGTCCGGTACGTGTAAAATTGTGTCCGTTACGTTTAATACATCGTCCGTTGTAAAAAGCGTCCGTTATGTGTTAAAAACATCGTGCGTTGTAAAAAACGCCCGTTACCTGTAAAACAGTGTCCGTCACGTGTGAAACAGTGTCCTTTCCGTGTAAAATTGTGTCCGTTACGTGTAAAACAGTGTCCGTTACGTGTGAAACAGTGTCCTTTGCGTGTACATTTGTGTCCGTTACCTGTACAACAGTGTCTGTCACCGTGTGAAACAGTGTCCTTTCCGTGTAAAATTGTGTCCGTTACGTGTAAAACAGTGTCCGTTACGTGTGAAACAGTGTCCGTTGCGTGTACGTTTGTGTCCGTTACGTGTAAAACAGTGCCCGTTACGTGTGAAACAGTGTCCGTTGCGTGTAAAATTGTGTCCGTTACGTGTGAAACAGTGTCCGTTGCGTGTACGTTTGTGTCCGTTACGTGTAAAACAGTGCCCGTTACTTGTGAAACAGTGTCCGTTGCGTGTAAAATTGTGTCCGTTACGTGTAAAACACCTTCCTTTACATGTAAAACAGTGTCCGTTACGTGTAAAACAATGTCCGTCACACGTAAAACAGTGTCCGTTACGTTAAAACACCTTCCTTTTACGTGTGCAACAGTGTCCGGTACGTATAAAATTAGGTCCGTTACGTGTAAAACAGTATCCGTTACGTGTAAAACATCGTCCGTTGTAAAAAGCGTCCGTTACGTGTAAAACAGTGTCCGTTACGTATAAAACAGTGTCCGTTTCGTGTAAATTTGTGTCCGTTACGTGTAAAACAGTGTCCGTTACGTGTAAAACACCTTCCTCTACATGTAAAACAGTGTCCGTTACGTGTAAAACATCTTCCATTGTAAAAAGTGCCGTTACTGTAAAACAGTGTCCGTTACGTGTAAAATAGTATCCGTCACGTGTAAAACAATGTCCGTTACGTATAAAATAGTATCCATCACGTGTGAAACATACTCCGTCACGTGTTAAACAGTGTCCGTTACGTGTAAAACATTGTCCGTCACGTGTAAATCCGCGTCCGTTACGTGTAAAACATTGTCCGTCACGTGTAAATCCGCGTCCGTTACGTATAAAACAGTGTCCGTCACGTGTAAAACATTGTCCGTCACGTGTAAATCCGCGTCCGTTACTTGTAAAACAGTGTCCGTTACGTGTAAAACATTGTCCGTCACGTGTAAATCCGCGTCCGTTACGTTTAGAACAGTGTCCGTCACGTGTAAAACAGCGTCCGTTACGTGTCAGTTACGTGCACTCAACTAATGATAACACAGAATAGAGAAAGCTTGTCAGTTTCATTGCAATCATTGTAGTAAATGTTGACAATATCTGTAGTAATTATGATAAATCATCAGAAAGTTTCGTTCCAAATGGTGTGTTAATTTGATCGACGCCTTGCAGACATGTTTTTGTTGTATCTTGTGTAAAATACACAATTCGGTTTGATTGTTGCCATATATAGTTCGGAGATGAACGAAGCTATTATAAGTGATTAGACTGCACCGCGTGAATTACGACTTAACCACGGTTATGAAAACAAATATGCAATGAATAAATCACTATCGTAATAAGCTATCCACGACGTAAAAGATATACAGCATACACACTCTTCGCGACAAAATCTGTATGGATTATTAATTAAATAACATAATTAGGAGAATAGAAAATATCGATATTTGATAATAGCAATCTGTGACTGGGAACCCCGCCTGGGTGAGGGGATGGGTCGATATCAACAAACAGCATTAGAAACGCTGTCTTTTTACATGTCGGCAAACGTTAAACACATGTTCCCCTGCAGTTGAAGGGAACTCACTCCCTTCACTAAATCAAAACATATTTATTAATTCTCAACTAGACACCCATGATGATCATTGCTGTATCAATTCCAGACAAAAGTTTTTCAAGTCAATATACAAATAAATATGTATACTCTGTCGGTAATTTTGAACCGACTGTAAGCACCTAATTCTAATGTATATATCAACTGATATATTTCTATATAGATGTTTTATCTACAAGACACTGTTACGCGAGTTTAGAATGTCGACGATGTCTAAAACGTTACCTTAAAATTGCCAAACATGTCTGATTTGAACAGCTCCGAGCACATATGTATTAATTGTACTGAATACACGGATTAGCCACACCGGTTTATCAAATTCAGTTTTAAAGACATGAAATATATTCAGACGAACGCGCCTGATCGTGTTACAAGCTGGTCGTAACGGTATTTACAACCTGTCTATCACTGCAAACACATACTCATATATCAAAAGATCACCTCCCAGCCTCATCCGGACTTATCTCCCTACATAATTAAACGATTTAAAAAGAAATACTTACAATGAATTTATTCGTTAAATCCCACGTAAGCACAGTCCCCAGTACTAAATATTAATGTTGGTTGTCAAGGTAAGAACTGGCCATCATTCCACAACACTCAGGAAGCGCCGAGTGAAAGTTCTTCCTTCTACTGTTTCTTACTGCCAATCAAAGCCTGATGCTGCGGTGAGAAATCGATTCGGTTACAGTGGCCCTGCAAAATAGATATAATATTTCATTTACACCGTGATCCGGTCACCCTCTCACATCGCCTTAATAAAATGCATTAAGGTATGGCATGCGGGTCAACGTCGGCACCAGTTGAAGTATCAGAAACTAGCGGTTCTATTAATGCTATTTACTGGCGGATGACACTGAATATTTTCGTCAATAATCAGCCGGACCAGCGGCCGTAAACCAGCTATTGCCTAGGAATTTACGGTCACCAGCGGTCAATGTTTTTGACTGACCATTTCCGCACATCGTACAATTGGAAATCTGGATAACAGCATCACGTATTTGTTCGATTCTTTTGTTGGAGGGTTGATAGCATGTTAAGGGCATTTTTTGTGATCGTCTGCAGCTCTCAAGTCTTGAGCTCAATTCGCTATTAATACAATGATATCGTTTGTTTTTGTGCATATGTGTCGTTGAAAAAAATGGCGCCTCAATTTTGTCCATCACTGACGTCAATTGGCGCCTCGATTTTGTACGTTATTGACATCAATTGGCGCCTAGATTTTGTCTGTCATTTTCCAAATAATGGCGTTATGTGCACGTTTGCCATTTTCCCGTCTTTGAGGTCTTTTAAAATGTGTCTCAAATATGCCCGTCAGTGACGTCATTGGTCATCTAGTGGAAAGCCGTCAACGTCATCAATTTACTCTAATGCTTGCGAATCTATGTCCGTCATGGTCTTATCACGGCGTCGTGTATATGTGTCCACCATATTTCGTTGTTGAATAAATTGGCGTTTCGTTCATGTTGTTCAGTAACATAACTTATAATCTAGTACCGTTACGTCATGACGTGGTCACACGATGCTCATTCACATATTGGTATTACGTTTGTTTGGTGAAATACAAAAAGTCTGTAAATAAACGGTCAAGCAAGGTTGTGAAAACAATTCCAAAGGGAAACAATTGGATGTTTGATATGCCTGTGTTCTTGAAAAACGATGCAAATAAAAAGTTCTTATGCTTTGCAAAAAGGTCGGTATGAACTTGACATGAACTTTTCACTAATACAACAAAATTTATGCATATATCAAAAAATCCTGTTTCTTTTTGTCAGTGAATAAACATTTTTCAAAATAATATATCCGTGTGTTGATCCTCGTGTCCGTCCGTCCGTCCGTCTGTAAGAAATGAAATAAATCACAGAATTAATTACCGTCTCCCACATTACTGTGCAGCGACCCCCAGGGAGTTTATTTGCTAGTTTATGGTAATCAATGATCTTCTATAACTACCGAACACGGCAGCGGTCCGTATGCTTTGATTACCACTTTTTTTCTTTTATGTCAGTCCTGCCCGGAACTCTGACGTGCAATGTTGGTGTTTATATCAAACCCGAAGTTATAGAGGACCAATGTACACATATTGTACCTACCGCGGTAGTTTTATACGCATTTATATGCACGTGCGTATACATATTGATTTATGCACGTGAATACGACAAAGTCACATACGGGTTTCAGTGACAGTAATAGGTTATTTACATAATTCCCTCCCACCACGTTAGTTTAACATAGACAGTGAAATGTGGCGTTTGAAGGGCGTGCCGCAGATCAATGAACCGCAACGTGTTGCTGTTTATGATGTCGTTTATTTTGTTTCCGTGTCTCCAGAGTTCCTGTGGGGTCCTTTCGTGCAGGCTGTAATGTATTGACATCTCTGTATATATTCTTTCCTGCTGTCAACAACTAGACGATGCAATTTTACAAAAATAACTTCAATATAGACAAGAGAAATAAATGCTACCATGATAAAACAAGTCAGATGTGGGGTATTGTCGTTTCCGGTGCTTCCAACTGTAAATTGCTTCCGATTTAATAAGATTTCACATTTCTAAAGCAATTTACTATCATTTACTTCCGTTTTAATACGACTTCACATTTCTGTAACTTCTACAATGTACCTATCATTTGTTTCCGGTTTAATAAGATTTTACATTTCTTAAGCGACTTGCTGTCATTAACTTCCGGTTCAACAAGACTTCACATTTCTATACCTACTAAATGTCATTTACTTCCGGTTTAATATAATTTCACATTTCTAAAATTACTAACTGTTATTTACTTCCGGTTTTTCGAAGTACATGTATAACATATCTGTAAGCTAACAACGTACTACTACTTCCGGTTCTATAATCCCAAATTTTCACTGACATGTCCTTTAATGATTGTGGCATCCTTAAATAAAACATTCAGGTGACGAAAGAAGAGGGGCTGCTCGCCGTCCATCACTGATTTAAATACTTTCGGTTTCGACTGCTTGAATACAATACACTCTTAACCTTTCAGTTTTCTTAAAGCACCGGTGGAGGGCTCCGGAGAGATCAGAGATATCAACAAAATATAATGTTTCGCCAGTTTGCAATATTTTTAAAAGCCAAGGCTGTAGCCATGTATGATCCCCCAGGTACACTGTACATTTAGAAACAGCTCGATACAATTTCCCGGATCTGCCATTACATTTTGAAATCAAAACAAGAATAAAACATTAAAAAAAACCTCTAAAACCGATTGATATAGTTAATTTTAAAATTGTCATTATCGATTTGTTGTCTTGTTGATTGGAGTGAAATATAAGAAGGATAAGAAAATGTAATGTCGACAGTTTAGACAACAATGCGTTCTGCTCAAAACGTGACCAGTCGACATTTCTCTCCGATCCTCTATCAACGTGACTATACAATCTAGGCAGTCTCCGTTTCCGACTGTTGAACAGGACACACAGGATGCGCGGCAAACAAGCAGGAAGACGCCATAGCGCAGCAGGAGACAGGATATTCCACAGTGGTGATTTCGCCGGCGTTCCCCGCATCATCAATACAATATGTACAAAATATACAGGACAAATTCGTGTAACACATGTCTACCGAAGGACGAAAGCCCGTTATACAAGACGTTAAACTCGTTAAATAAATAAATAATAAACCATTCTTGTCGTCAGTCCTAAGGATTGGTTTCCAAGTCACGTGACCAGAAGTGACGATGTGTAAATGGGGGCGGGGCGTCCACGTGACTGATGGTATAACTATGAAAACGTAAACATGAAGCATGAACTAGAGGTACATGTACCTGTTGGTTGTGTAGGCTTAGACAACCTGGTTAGATTGTATTGTTGATTATTTCGACAAGTCCAATCTCACCACATATTAACTATTCAAAACCGGAAGAACAATTTTTCATTTTCATGCAAATTTGTTGAAAACACTAAAAAAAATCAATAACAAGCAAGCCAGTTACTTGATCAGCGCAACGGACGTAGCCTTTCTTTATATAAAAAAAAAGTGTGAATGTGTACGCAAGAACACGAGCCAACATTTCATTAGTGAATGGTGGCTTAGCAACTACTATCAAAGCTAAGTCCAAGTGTACGTATTGTTGTGACAATGCAGTCGGTATATCGAGCTGAATGTGACAGAGCCGAGCGTCCAGACTGCAATATCCGGTGGAATGGCCGCCCAGATATAGTCTAATTACTAGATTCATTAAATACCGGTCTGGGTTCTAATTCTCACTTATCTGGCGAGTGGTCAACACAGTTGATCAATTTCTAACGTATTATCGTAGTAGTCATGTTGAATACTTATTTGATTTCAATCTGAATTTGTGTTACATGTAAGTTTTACGAACACTCTATTCCGTTGATTTCTATCTAAAAAATATTACAATTGTGAGCTTGGTGTTAAATTTTATCAACACTTTATCAAGTTGATTTAAATTTAAAATATTTTAATTGTGAGCTTGGTGTTTTACATTTTATGAAAGCTCTATCATTTTTAAGTGTGACGTTTCGTGGTTTTAGTTAAGGATAAATAAAATAATGGTTTTGATAATTTAAAAAGATCTTGATATAAATAAATGTGAAACGTCACTTCCGGGTCATATTAAGGTCAACATAAATTTTATTTTCACATGTATTGTCTTTTATTGACCGTCGGTGACGTCAAGGAAAGAAATTTCCGGCTCAGTGAGGAACATTACACGTTCATTACAATGAGACATCAGTAAGTAACAGGGGAAAGGGTCAGTGCACGACAATTACAGATGTCAGTGACGTCAAAACAAGTCTAAATATAGGTCACAACCTGTTTGGACTCTGCCACCTTGTTTAGAAGATCTATAATGCAATTAACACGAACTGATTGGTTATCAAACGCGTCGGAGCACAAGGGGATTTTAGTGCTTTGTTTTGTGTACATGTGAAAAACCGGGGCCCTTTATTCATGAAAATCGTTCTCATGCTCAAGCATGGATTCTGTGCTCAAGCCTGATTTGTTGTTATAAATTAATAAAAAAAATCCAATTTTGCCAATGATTTGGAAAACATTTGAAGAGACTTAAAGCCAAATACTGTTTTCAATGTTTATATTTGATTTTTTTGATCGTTTGACATGTTTAAGTGAGTCATTAGAAAGTTGGTGTGAGGAAAAATCCCTGTTTGAGCATAAGAATGGTTTCATGAATACGGGCTCTTGTTTCCGAAAACTCTCTCGTGCTCAAACCTACTTATACTGGGCAAGCGCCGGAAACTAGTGTTGTTATACCGGGTTACCGCCAAAGTCTGTTGCTTTTATACCGGGTTACCGCCAAAGTCAAGTGTTTTTATACCGGGTTACCACCAAAGTCAAGTGTTTTTATACCGGGTAACCGCCAAAGTCTGTTGCTTTTATACCGGGTTACCGCCAAAATCTGTTGCTTTTATACCGGGTTACCGCCAAAGTCAAGTGTTTTTATACAGGGTTACCGCTGAAGTCTGATGTTTTTACACCGGGTTACCGCGGAAGTGTACAGTTTTATACCGGATTACCGCCGAATTATACAGTTTTATACCGGGTTACTGTCGAAGTCAACAGTTTTATACAATGTACCGAGTTACCGCCGAAGTCCATTGTTTTTAAACTAGGTTACCGCCGAAGTCTAGTGTTTTTATACCGGATTACCGCCGAAGTGTACAGTATGATACCGGGTTACCGCCGAAGTGT